CAACTTTAAGAATCTGATTTATTCAACTCTAATATAGTCGATAGTAGAAATTTTCAAAAAATCGAAATTTAACGGCTTTTAAAAATTTAAATTTTTGATGACTCAATTTTGATGATTTTTTTGACAACCAAACAAAACAGAAAAATCAACATTATGTTTTCAAAAAAGAACATTCCCCCCCCAACCCCCCCACAAAAAAAGAGTGAAAAATATTTTTGCAAATTAAAATCATCGACCCAAATAAAATAAGCGTTTGTTAATGGATGAATTTTTACGCTCAAATTACCTTTTTTGTTCAAAAATCTTTCAATAAAAAAACACACAGAAAATTAAGTTTTAATTAATTTCTTAGTTTCAATCAGTTTCGAATGTCTGAATGAAACTAAATTACAAATCTCTTTTCAAATCAAGCTCCAACTGCGAATTTTCATCATCCCAAACGCTTCAATTTTTCATTGCAACATCTTGAAGTTGTTGATTTTCAATTCAGACATGTTGTGTGCTGAAAATGGCACTTTAAGTAATGACAATGTGATACACAATAGCTTATTCTCATCAGTCAAATGATTTTAATCCAAGCTTCATCTTCATCATCCCACTTTCCTATTCTTCACGCGTCTTGTTAACTTCACAAATCGTTATGGTAATTCTACTTTCCCATGAAATGTGTTACATTTATTCAAAAAATGAATGACGGCATCTGTAATAATAAGAACTTTGAACTGAATTCCATGATGAAATTTTCCTTTTTATTACTTTTTTTCTATTTTTGAATTCAACAACGGGGGTGTGATGACTTAAAGTGTCAAAATTAAGCTCCCATGATACACTTTTGTATGATTGTGACTTCTGTCTTTTTATCAGCATGACAAATTATCGTTCACAATTCAAGTTGGCATGGTTTCAATTTTTATTTATGGGTGTAAAAAATTGGAAATAAGTTGTAAAATTCGAATGTCAATTTTAACGACTTTTGAAAATTCAAATTTTAACGACTTTTTATAATTTAAATTTTAACGACTTTTTAAAACTCAAATTTTATAAATTTTTTGAAATTTAAAATAAAAAAATTTTCAAAAAACTAAATCTAAGATTTCAAAAATTCAAATTTTAACACATTTCAAAAAATTATTAAAATTCTTAAACTTTTCTGTTCCATCCAAGCTATTGTCCCCCTAACCTTATGTTTCAACACTTCTTAACTTTATTTTCAGGCCAATCTTTTGGATGACTTATCTTTTGAAGAAAAAACAATTTGCATAATTTATCATGTTATCCTAAAACCAACATCATCTGAGAATATGATGATAGTTCCAACTTTAATGTCGTTTGAACTTTCTGTTTTGGCAAACTTTATCAATAAATCATGTCGATATATCGGATAAATGCTTCTATATATAATCTATCCATTTTGATATGATACGAAATATTCAGATGCCATTTACAGTTACACGTATAAGACAACCAAGTAGCCGCACAATGTTGAAGTAAAATATGAAAAAAAAAATTAATTTAGAAGAGCAACTGCTTAGGGATGCCATAAAATTGCATATGGGCGATTCTCCAGATAGGTTGAATTTTTAAAAACAGAACTGTAATTCCACTGCTACTTGAAATTTTTAAATTTTTGAAATACGTTGGGAAAAATGTAAACAAAGACTTGTTTACAAAAATAAAATTTTGTTTTAATTTATAAAAATCATTTTTTTTATATGTTTTAATCGTTTTAATTAAACAAAAGGTAATTAATAATTAATATTGCACTCAATCATCATCGTTTCTTTTAAAAATATTCCATTTAAATTTATAACGTATTTGAAAAATTTGAATCTCACAAATTAGTTTCAAGCGCTTTAAAAATTACTCGAAGACAAAATTTTCATCAAAAGAATTGAATTTTCTTGTGAAATTTGTATTAAGCTTAATAAAATTGTTGTCATATATGATAAAGTAGTTCGTTTTCTATCGATTGGTATTTATATCATATGTCAAAGAATAGTTTTTAATACTTAATTTTTGATTATAAAAATCCAAATTCCATATTTTGTCTTCGAGAAATCGTCCGAAGAATCGAAATATTTCCTTAATTAGAGTATATTGAAAGCATTTAATTATACAGATTTGTAGAGTTTAAAAAGTTGTACAATATTAATTTGTCTTTCGAGGCTCTCTAATGGAAAAAAATTATAAAAAATTCATTTTAGTGGTGGTTTTTTGAAAATTTTTATCTGGAGAATCGCCCATATCCAATGCTTACTTTACATACAGATTTCTATTTTTGTTCAGCATACTGAATTATCTGTTGAGGGAAATCAAGTTTCCATTCAGTTTATGATTGAAAAACGCTGATTGAAGCCTTTGTTAAGGCATCGCTTTCATTTTATTGTTCCGCTCGGAAATGCTAGATGCAAGCATCTATTTGTTTCGTAATCAGAGCCAAAGCTATTCCTATCTTCATCAATCGATCTTAGTGATGAAATTTGATTAATATGCGCCTTAGAAATGGAGATTCCTTATTAAGATTGCAAATAAATGAGAAATAGTTCTATGCAGGATTAAGGCTTCGTCTGCTGTATCTCGGATAGTTTTTTTATTTGGATGAATTTAATTTTGCAACATCCATTATGATTTATGATGTCCTTCAGAAACTTTTGTATTTAAAACTACACAAAAGATGAATAACTTTGAATAGTTTAATTACAGTAATGTGCACTTAGCGTAGGATTTTCATGAAAAGTTTTTCGTTTTCAGGACTTTTTAAAGTTTTTGATTCAGAAAATTCAAGTCTTTATCTTAATTTAAGAGATTTATATCATGAAAGGGTACAAGTTTATTTCAAGCAATCAAAATTTACAAACCTTAACCTTTAAAAATATGCTTTTCATCATATTGATTGACCAAACTGTGTTACATTAAATCCATCAAAGTATGACTATCAAGTTTTACCCCTAAATTCCTAAATATCATCGAAACCCATGCTTCCATCATATTTTTACATGTCAAAAATTGTAATATTTTATTTACACATGTTTCCGTATCCGATAAGTTCCTGAGTGAAATGTTTCGTCGTTTCCTATTTATACGCACGAAAAAGAAAAGAATGATACGCACATAAGAATTAAATTTAACACACTAGAAAGGAAGAACGAATAAAACGAGCAAAGCAGAAACTGCAAACGTAAAAAATATTTACCTGCTAATGGTTTTTGCATGTATTCCTCAGACATTTCATTAATCTAGGTGAGAAAAGTTTTCACATTTCATCAAAATTGTTCAATTAATTATGTTGATACGAATACTGCAAAGCTTAAGGAGATGTTTCTCATCTAATTTATGATTGGTATAGTCTTGGAGTTAGTCACAAATTTTGGAATGATAAAGTAACCATGGATTGACTTAGTTTGGAAAAAAAAAATTTTTTTGCCACCTCAAATGTTTGATAACGAAATTCAACTTAATCATTGGCTTAAATGTTGATTAAATGATTGAACTTGATAGAAAATAAATGAGCAAAGAAATAAATGCATAAATCTTCCAACAGATCTTTACAAAATTTAATATTTTTGAAAGTTTCATTTTATTAAGAATATTTTGAAAATGGCTGGAAGAATGTACCTTGTTGATTTATACGATCCATTTCCAAATCAACTTCATATGGAACAAAAATATGGGAGAAAATTAATTGATACGGGATGAAGGAAAACATAATTACTTTGTGTTGAAATTTATTCCCAAAACAACTGCATGTGTGATCCTGGAAGTAAATTGGAATCACATTTCATAGACAGTTTGATGAATGAGGAAGAGATGAATGCTCCAGAGAACAACAATGATTAAGAAGATATACAGTTTGATTTAGCGTCTCGTTCACTGACATTTGAGGGCTTCGAACTTTATCCTTTATCTGTGTAACATGCCGAAATATATTATTGATTATTTGCAGATGAAAAGCTTCTCAACGAAAGTTTTATTTATTCTTCTATATCCTTCTAACCTACTTCTATAAATAGAAAGAACATATAAAATGCTGATAAAGCTACACAATTGTGTGAAATTTCTAATTTTTGTTGCCATTCATTCTCATTTGCTCATTTCAGTCACAGCTTAACGATTTTAAAATAAATTTCTCATACATCGATTACAGCACAGATTTTCAATCAATTCTTAAGAGATTTGGAATGAATGTAAGCTTTGACATGTGCTGTATGCTGGTACTCTCTTGTGCTTATCAAGATGCGTCTTTACTTAGCATGCATGACGCAAATTCATATTTTTTAAGATTAACCTCGATGTTTCCAAGCAATTATTCAAAATAAATGAAATCAGCGCGTGTTGAATGTAGCAAATACGTTTTGGTTCCTGGAACAAGTTCAATTTGTTTACCATTAATTCAAATCCTGTCAATTTGGCAACAGAACTTTCTCGGAATTGTATGTTTAAAAATCTAAATGTCATTGATCGCATTAAGTAACACGTTTGTGCAGGTGTGAGTTTCCTGTAACTTAAATCTTTGCATTTACGTCCCATTCACATATTGCTGCATTCTCAGTGTACAACTGCTTACCAACAGCAACATCATTTTGTATAAGTAAGATCAGTAAGAGTAGTAAGAAGCAAACCAAGCAAGAAGAAAGAAGCCAAAGAAAAGGAAGTGATGAATGGAGGAAGAAGATTCAGTGACAAAAAAAAAGCACCGGTTTGTTTATAAATAAATATATTAATTCCCAATTCCAGTTTTATTTCATTTCATTCACACTAAAAAAAATTGTGGAGATGAAAAGAAAATCCGAGAGAGTACAGAACGAGAATCAGAGAATTGAGAATCAAAAGAATAAATGAATGAATGAATGAATGAATGAAGTGACCAAATGTCTGACCTGCGAAGGTCGTTCCAAAACTTGATTTAATCCTTTAATAAGAAGAATCCTTCTACACCTGAAACGATGATGATAATAAATGGATGGAGGCGAAATCACAAGCAACAACGCTATAAAAGAAGATCTTCTGAGATGGGAAATTCTCAGTTTCGAAATTGTCGCAGAAGTATTAAAACCAAATTTTTGTATCCGTGATGAGAAGGTAAACTTTAATCCATTTTTATATTTTTTTGTTCTGTTACTCAATTGAAATTATTTTGTATAGCAGCATCAACTTTCTACGTCTTCAAATTACATCTATGGCACTTATTATTTTATCAATATCAGCATCTGCTCAGATTACAGAAGTAAAAACTTTGCCATCGTTTGAATGTTTAGTTTCATATGCTAAGCTACAAGGAATTAAAGATATTAATACACCGGTGCTGAATGAAGATATTAAATACGATAGTACAATGCCTGAATGTACAACAGCAAGACAGAATTTAATCAGTCGTGTTCGTACCGAAATTCGATCGAGAATTAATGAGGTGGAAATTTTGCCAAGATATTCAAACTGTATTTACGAGAAATTAACAGGAACTGAATCATTTGTGCATTCAGTCATAAAAGCCGCAATTTTTGAGCATTTTGATGAGAATAATAATTCAATAAATCGAACGATTTCAAGCATTTTGAAGGAAATTAACAATTCAATACAGATATGCAGGCAAGAAGATGAGGTTGGTAATGAGTTTGATACGATATTCAACTCAACATTTGATGGAACTAGAAATTTAACGAAGCATGAAGAGTATTGCATAAAAAAGTATCTAATCAAGAATAATCTGATCGATATTTACACCTACGATATTGACCCAAATCCACATAATATTAATGTGACGGGACTTAACTGTGAGGAAATGATACGAAAATCAAATGAAGAAGTTTACGATCAATTAAGTACAGTTTACTTCCAAAAACCAAACCTTTCGAATGATGAGAAGGTTGAATGTGCTGTAGAAAAGTTTCGTGAAGCAGACTATTTTGATTTAGTGATGAAAATTAACGCATTGTCAACACTTAATATCACATCAGAACAAAAGATTATCGAACGAGAGAATTTTATTCAAATTTTTTCAAACATAACATCCAAAATTGCTACGTGCTGAAATAAAGAAGTCATTAAAAGTCAATCAAATGATCGAAAAATTTGTTTTCTTCACTCTTTTATCGGAAATTAAAATTCAATTTTAGCTCTTTTTTTTGTACAAAGGTAGTTGTGCCATACACTTTGTAGGGGCTGTCATCCTCGATATAAAATCAATAAGAAGTCGTTAATGGACAGTCAACAATTTGAATTTTGAGAAATCGTTCATATTTTAAATTTGAAAGAACCGTTATAAGATTAACTTTACTTATTTTCTAATTGAATGCTGTTTAATGATTAAAACTGCGCTTAAACCTCTCAATCAAGCCCAAGGCCTATTTTATTTCTTTTTTTCTCTCATTCTCCTTCTTAATGCATTTGCTAAAGCTTCAATTCGCATCTCTCTGTGGCTTCCACTCAAGCTTTCTTTCTAGAACGATACGACAGCAACGGAATAAAGAAAACAAAACAAAAAGAAGAAGAATCTCGAGAGAAATGAAAAAAAAAGTTGTTGATGAGAGAAATTTTTTCATGTCTTTTTGTTAAAAAAAAATATCGTCAAAATGCCTCAAGAAGAGAGAACCGATGAGCAAAAAAGGTCATCAGACAGTTAGAGTGTGTTGAAACAGGTTTACAAAACAGAAACAAAGAAGCATGAAAATGGGTTAGATGGAAATTGGTTAGTTTGCTTGTGGACATCAATTTGAGTAGAAGTTCGTTAAGAAATTCAGTTGAAGGTTAATTTATATTTCTAATAGCATGAATTCTAGGTAATTTATGGTGATTTTACTAAAGTAGATGTATAATAATTTGTATTATTAACTACGAAGTTTGCTTGGCGACGATAAAGTTTCAATGCTTTTATCTGACCTTAAGATGCAATCAAAGAATCCATAAAACTTTAAGAAATTTAAAAAAGTTTCTTTTTGTTCTGTGCTATTGACATTAGTTGTTTACATCTAACTGCATATTCTGGTTCTTGTTTGATATTATTAATGAAAAAGTTTAATATTGAAGACTTCTAAAGGAAGATAAGTTTTTGAATTAACTGTGAAGGAGATATTATTTACTCTGACTATGACAATAGTTTGCTATTTGAATAATAATGTCAAGTAGACACTATCTTTGGAACAGATAGTCAGACAGTGCTTTTAACAAAATATGGCATTCAAAAATGATGTTTTTAAGGAAGTGTGTTTGCAATATATCTTGAACTACCCAATCAATTAAAAAGTCTATTCAAATATTTTCATTCCATTAATCATCTCACGTATATTTAGGACTATCATAACTCTTACAACACTTCTTCTTTTATGGAATATTGATTTAATTTCATGCGAAGAACCATCATTTGAATGCTTAGCAGCCTACTCAAAATCAAGAGGACTCAACGAGCCCGAATTCAATCATGTTACATATGACAGCTCACAACCTCAATGTGTTGCTGCATTAAGACAGTTCACTGATAAAATTCGCAGCGATATTATCGAAAAAATGTCAGAAATATCAACAGATCCAAGCCAAACAAGATGCATCAATGCCAAATTCACAAGTGATGATACATTCGTTAATAACATCATTAAAGGAGAAGCACTTGCATCGTTAGGTGATAAAGAAAAATCGGAAAAATTGAGTGCCGTTGAGAGTTTCGCAGAGGAGTTCATTACATCAGCAATCTCATCATGTCTTGGTTAAATTGGCGAGTGAATGATTTATTCATATTTAAGCAGTAAAAAATTAATGAGAAAAATTTTTGATATCTTCTTGCTCTTTAAACTTTTATTAATTAAATTTAACACGAGCAACAAAAATTTATGTTTAGTATGTAAACTCATTGGAGTTTGTGACCTTGCTGTACTGAAAAATCTCTTATATTTTATATACATATTGAGAAAGAAAAATACTATTGAATAAATTTAATTTTTTATGGCTATGCACTATAGCTTTATGCACTGAGACAATATAATTGAAGTCGCAATAAATGTACGAATTTGTTATCAAATGATTGTGCATGTTGGAACGTTATCAATTTGGCACACAAAACGGTGTAAGGAAAAATCAATTAGTGACATTAAATGTGTGATATTGGAAAGCAATATTTTAATTTTTTATTATTTTATGACAGTTGCTCATATTTTTCACATTAGAATGGAATTGCTTGCTATCGAATGATAAAAATTTGATTCAGGTGAAATCGTAGAGAACGTTGAAAACGTTTCTTTAACTCTCACAAGCTGGTTTTGATCTTAATTTATGAGAATAATGATTTGTTTACTTTTTCACCTTGAATTTTTGACTTTACATTTTGACTTGAATTCTATTTTATTAGTGATTATAATGATAATGAAGTAGTTAAAAAGAGTGAGCAAAGCTTTTAACATCAAAATGATGCAATATATCTCACTTATTAAGATTAAATTATCGAATAATGATTCTGCTGTTTTCAGGCTATTTTTTGGTTATCGATTTTTTTTTTGTTAAAAAAAACTTTTTTGAAAGTTCAATTTTTAAATTCAAATTCACATCTCGTAAAATTCGCATAATTCATGATGTCTCAGTCCGTCTGAAAATGACACTAAATATTTCAGAGTAAGAGACAATGAATCTTTAATATCAGCTTTTGTCGCATCAATTGATTCACACAGATTCAATAACAAAAAGAAACGAATCCAGTGACACAGAAGAAAGCATTCCAAACTGAATCAATGAATCGTTTAAATATCATGTTATTTTTCTTCCCAATCAAACACCTGATACATAAGAGGTCAAAATAATGAAACGATGGGAGTGAAAAGTGTCAATTACATTCCCGGGTGGACACAGCCAGTTAAAGTCCATTATTGGACAATCATTTAACAGTCTTTTAACTTGTCAAAATATATACGACATAGAGAACTATACGTTAACTAGACTTTAACTGGACATTTATGCTAATCAATCAAGTGTTCGAAACTCAAAAATAATTTTCCTTACTTTTTTGACCATATACTTCACAAGCGCTCACAGAAATCACTTATATAAGGTCCACCAAAATTTATATGAAACTTTTAAGTAAATATAATTGTTTCACGCGCAAGTGTTCGAGACTCAATTTTTACTAGAGATTTTTCATAAGTGATAGTGTACTTTAATTAATTAATTACACTAATACAATAATAAAATTTTACAAAAGAAAAAAATATGTAGAAAAAGACACGTGTTATTTATTTTATTTCGATTTTTTTGTAACTGGACATTAACTAGACATATTTGCAATTCCTATGTCCAGTTAAATGGAAAGCGCAAAATATGTCATTAGTCGTCCCTAAGTCTAGTTGCAAAGGCACGTCAATGGATACTTACTCGCCGTGAAAAGGCAAGTCAATGGCAAGCTTTTAACTAGTACTTTGTCCACTCGGGATTGATTAAATCAATCATGTTTGATGAGAAGATTTTCCGTGATGCGCTCAATTGGATAAGGAAAATTCTATCTACGTTCAATGAATTTTTATTACAGGTACTAACAATAAAATAGCAGATTAGCTTGTGGGAGCAATAGAACTTCTCTTCTTTTAAATTAATTTGATTAAAAGTTTGTTAAATTCCTTAGTTTATTCACTTTATCTAGTTTACTTGATGAATAAGTTTGAAGAATAAAGATTATCGTAATCGTTAGTAATTTTTTAACAATAATAATAAGGTTGAAATTAGAAACTAAAACTTGGAAGTTTTCAGATAGAAAATTATTCAAATTTATTTTATTTCTATGTTGTTCAATGCATTTAAAATTGTTAAACTGAGTTAAATGTTATGATTGACGCCATATAGAGCTGCTTACCAATAGATTGTCTATATTAAGTGCACCTAGCTCATGAAGTCTAATATTGATAGTAAACGAGTAATTATTATGCTAAGGAGAGGGAGTTAATGAGATTTAAACAACGGTAATTAAACCGCTTTTGCAATTTAAAGCAAACTAATACAGAAGCCTTGAAAGTCACTTCGTTATTAAATATAAATAAATAATAAACCAAAGACTTTAGTGCTTATCTTGATTCATTCGCATTCCAAAGAATACTTAGCCATCCAGAATAGCAAGTAATTTTCTTTTCATTTGGATCAGAAATTCGCAACAATTCCGCCTTTAAGTAACTCCTCACAAATACCTCGAGCCAGGAATTTAAAGAGGGGGGGGGGGGGGGGGGGGGGGTATGGCAATAATTTTTGCGAATTTTTCATTAAAACCCTAGCAAAATGAAGAAAATTCTGATGACGAACAGAGATTGGTCCCCCAAATTCCCCCCTGGCTACGGGCCTGCCTTAATGGCATCACGTTCCTCATAATCAATAAGGCTTGACTAGAAATGAATGAAATCAAAAAATAAGCAGTAATTCAATTTACTTCTTCATGATAAATTAACATACGTCAATGTCATATGATCATATATATCAGTTAACCTTAAAACTTCTTTTAATTGTTTAATAATAAAAAAAATCATTTTGGAAGAAGATGACGACATTGTTGAAGAGAACATCTTGAATTTGTCATTTCATCTTCATCAAAATGTTTGGAAGGAAATACTCAGATGATGAAGAATAGAATGTATAGGAAATTATTATTTTCCGCTTCTTGCGCTGAACTTTTTTTTTGCGTCACAAATGAAGATCCATCAATTATCTCGTCTAATATCAAGTGCCTCATAGAATTTACATCACGTTTTCGTAGGATGCGAGATAAAATGCCACTTATTCATTGAATGGATTGATTGCGAATACTTAAAGCAATACGTTTTTAAATTTTTAAGGTCTACACTGTTATACTGAACTTTGCCGAAAAATTGAGAACAATAATTAATTTTGTGGCATTTCGTGACTCATTATAGCAAAATATTACCAAATTAGATTGATTTATGGATTGCTTCTATAATAAGCATTTCATGAGATGTAAATTTAAGTTCTGCTAGTGACATTAAAGGAAATTATTTCCTCCTTTTTTAAAGGCTCCTTTAATGCGTAGTTTTGAACAGCTTTATTTATGTTGACGATTGGATTTCGTCAATGGTATGGATATGGCTCGAAGAGCAAATCTGTAGTAGATAGGCCTGAGCATAATGCTCGCGTTGAACTGGTTATATGTGTATGAAGAATAGCCGAGTGAGATAATTACCTAGGTAGCCGAGTGGCAGGTATCTCTGATTTAGTGGTTAGAGATCGCCTCTTTTGAGGTCGTGGGTTCGATTCACATTCGACTTGTTTTACATTATTATACAAATATGGCAGTTATAGGGAGATCTACAAATGTTGTGTATAATTTAAATCAGGTCTGCATCCTTATGAAGAGATTGGGTTTCAGCGTAGAATCAGCCTTGGCGAACTCGTACCTGATTTGCTTCTTTTGAGCAAGGGAGCATTTGTAACCTTAGATATGCTAAAACTTTCATTAGATTTTATAAACAAAAAATTACAAATAAAAATCCACCCACGCATAACTTTACAAAAATAAATATATAGTCAATTAAATATAAATAAAACAAACATTCAATGTTAATTTATTCTGAAAAGTTTGTCTATTCGATGGAAAAAAAAGTTTGTTCTTTAACTTGTTGCTGCTGTAAATAGCAACATCAATTTGAGAATTATTTTATTTGTTGGCAGAAAACCCATAAATTTTTATTTTGAGCTTTATACACTAGAATTTAAAAGGATTTAATTAAATCCGAAACATTTTTTTCTCGATGAAAGAGTTTAAAGCTTCTCATATAAATCCATGGTTCTTAAACTGTCTTAAATCTGCTTTCAACTTCTTAAAAGATTACTTTAAATTGATGAAAGAATTTGTCTCCAAGTTACAACAAGCTTTCCTCCTTGATAAATGAATCTAAGTTGAAACCAAATACATTTAATTAAGTATCAAAATACCATAGATATTTGTATGCTTCTTCCTTGTGTCATAAACTCTGGATCATCATCATAAGTGTGTTATGATATAAATATCATATCATACCTTTCAGAAATTGCGGTAGCACTGCAAATAATTATAGAAGAAATATAATAATCCAGCACTTACATGAATAGATACTTAAATTTTTAATTTCTTAATATCCTGTTGGGATTTGGAATGGAATTATGTTAAAATGTCTGTGGAATAAAGGACAGCAAGTAAATGAAAGTTTATGATAAACATTGAAATTTCTTCTTGATGTTTAGGCTAAGCATTGAAGCATTGAGCTTTTGCAATGAAAGTTTTAAAACATTGAGAGCTTTTAAACATTCAAGAATTCAGGAATTAATTTGGAGGGAAAAATATAATTTGTTATTTAAGAAGCTTATGTTAAGGATTGATTTTAGTGATTAATAAATTTTTGTTAAGCAGAATTTGAAAAGATAAAAAAATATTAAATTCCAAATTTTATTCCAAGCCTTACGTATGCCCTAAAACAATTTACATTTTCAAAATTTTCAGAAATAATTCATTTGATTCAATTTTGTTGAATGAGAAATTCAAATGTTACTTCCAGATAAAATTAGGTAGGCTTCATTCAAAACCTACAAACCATTCAAAATTGTCAGTTCCTAAAAATAATTTTATATCAAACCATAAAAGCAATAATACACAGCAAACAATAACTCCTGACAGATTAATGAGCCTTCAAATAATTTGGTCAAATTAAAGACCATTCAGTTCCAATATAAAGCACAAAGGATAAAAGTCATTCAATTTGCGAGTTTGTTGCAGCACTGCTACGAATTTCATTTAGTCATGAAATCATTATAATAGATTTACAGGCTCTTTTGCATGACAAAATGTTATGTGCGACATATTTCCTGTTAAAACGTAATTCCAACTCACCTGTTCATTGTACATGTTGCTAATGTCATCATAAATATTTAAAAAAATATGCCAACAGGTCTCTTCATCCTCAAACATTGTGAAAAGGATGAAAATGTCTAGAAGTTTCTCTGTATGTAGGTGCGAAGGTATTGTAGCAATGAGATAGATTTTCAATATCAGATTTATCTCTTTTGTGTTCTAAAAAAGATATAGAACCTCAAAGCCATTTCCACAAATATTTCAATTTTACAGCATGAGATTATTCATTTTATTAAAATTTATTCTCATGGTGACTTCAATTTAATTCGTCATCAAATTTTTTCATCCTTTTGTTATGTTTGAAATCTCTTTGTGCTGTTGGTAAAGCATAGCAGAATCTGTGGCTCATTTTCAAGCTGACTGTTGATGTTA